CTTTAGGTTCTACAGTTAGTTACAGGTCTTAAAGATTTTTCAAAATGCAGATTCTTTATACACGTCTGCCATTCTAAATAGGTATCGATCATGTTTTACATAAAAGCAACATTAAATTACTCAAAAGAGTAATTTATTTCTTCTTAAAGATGATTTCTATAAACTGTAACAGAATTTTTATATTCTTTAATTTTTGCTTAGAATAGTGGGTCTCATTTCTATCTGAAAACAATGTACCTACGTAAACCACAACATTTCAAACCTGGATTTAGAAAACTAAGTATGAATGAAAATGGTTAGAATTCCTGAAGATGGCATGTACTAATATGACATGAATTCGAATGCATTAATACTATTCTACAATAAAAAAAAAAATCTAAGCATTATTACACATCTTCCCTCATTTACAGTTTAACGCAGAAAAGAAACAAAAAAACTAGCAATCATTCAAATGAAAGGAGTCAGCTAGGAATGAAAACTCTAATTGAACACAGCTACTGTGCAAACATACAGCCTTTACTTTCTTATGAGATTCAGTTTCCAAGGCGTGTGTGTGTGTGTGTGTGTGTGTGAGCGCGCGTGCACGCGCACGTATCAGAAATAATCTATATTTTACAATTCAAAATATTACAATATATAATTTCCAACATTAAAAATTAAACTATTTTTTTCTTACTCTTAAAACATATTTCATTTTCTTAACATGTATGTTTACAGATGAGTACTCTTACAATCCTCTGCAACAGAATTCTCTTTTGATTCCTTCCTCTTTTCTATCCTAAGTAAGTCAGAGGGATACACCAAAGATATTAGTTACTGTATTATTTAAAGGCCAATGCTTTGAACTTGCTCACTCTTCTGATTAATAAACAGAAAGCTACTGTACAAAGCTTTCTTTCCTCTTCTAATATAACCAATTCCATGAGATTACATTCTCATTTTGAAGATTTAAAAACAAATAACACAAACATAAAATAAAAAGTAACCTGTAAGTTTTGAACTAGACTATATACAGTTGCTAAACTGTTACCGTTATTTATAAAAACATATTTATTTCTCTGCTCCATGGGACCTTTACCTATCCCAGTGTACTAAAGAATCTAGTACAAAATCTCTTCGTAAGATTTACATTTTTTAAAAATTTTTTATTTTATTTTCTTTTTTAGAGGTTTGGCTTTCCATTCATTCATTTACATTTTTATGTTCCCTATGCTTCTGTCCTGATAATTTCTCTATCCTGGAATTATTTTATTTATATCTTACATTGTTTCTAAACATCAAACCAAACTTCATTAGCTTTTCTCCCCATAGTTTTTACTGCTACTAAACTTATATTGTATCATCTATTTTGCAGCATGAAATATACTAGCACAGAAATTGATGTATCTAATCTTGAGTAAACACTCATTTACATATATCACAAAGGAATAGTCATGGACTGTGACAATCTGAAGTATAACGGTCCAATTTTATATAAAATGTCTCAAAAATAAAGTAGAGATACCAGTCAGTCATTTCAGAGATGAATACAATAAGGGTTAATGTTGTCAGCTATATATATTCTCCACTCAATCAGGAATCTCAAAAATTTCAGAACAGAACAGACCCAGTAATGTTACCTGTTAGATCAATCAGCTAGGAAAGATGTCAAAATTCTGACCACTTAACAATTATTTTAAAAAAATTTTCCTCAAAACAAAACTATATAACTGTTCCCCAGAATATATAGAGGGCTCTGGTGGCCTTGTGGTAAAGAGTTCACTGTCAACCTAAAGGCACAGGTTAGAATCCACTAGCTGCTCCACAGGAGAAAGATAGGCAATCTCCTCCTATGTGACTGACCATCTCTGAAAACCCACTAGAAGATCAGCTATAGGTTGGTTCTAATTTGACTGTACAGAACAAGAATTAGTATAGATACTATAAAAAGATAATACTAGTAATTCCATAGAACTACTTTAATTTTGAACAGAAATGGCTGAAGAACCCAGGTCATTCCAGATGCTTACAAAATGATCTATCAATACCTAAAAAGTTGAAGGACTAGACGAATGCTTTAAGATCCTCCAACTGTACTATTTAAAATATGGATATGAGCAACAAATAATATTTCTCCCCTAAAAAAGGCTATATGCAAAACTATATGCAATTTTCAATTCTCCACAGACATGAAAAATTCACTTTTAGTCTCTTAATTCTGTGCAACCTGACCTCAAGTAACTGGAATTACAAACACACACACACACACAGAGATAGGCACCTATTTGTCAATAAAAGTATACATAAAATTTTGTAAACAATTCTGAGCACATCTATATTTTTACTTTAAATATCCGTTCTATCGTGAAAGGAACAGCAGCATCAGAACATAGATTTATAATACTAATCTAACAGAATTCCAATTACTTTTATGACTATTCATTTTAATATTTTCTTTAATATTGTTGACATCAGAAGTAGAATACTGTTCTACACTTACAAAAAAATTCATATTCTTTAAACAGTCTAAAAATTAATAATGCTAGTTGACAGTTAATGAGTATTAAAATATACTTCCTATTTAAAATGGTTACATGTGCAAATTCATTAACATTAATGTGATGAGGAAATGCTTACCTTGACACCATGGCCCACATCATCCAGAACTGTGTAATCAATAGGTTTCCGAATATACCTTACAGGGCGTTCCATATTTGCAGGTGCTATTATTTTGTGAGTTCTTGAAGTATTCTTATTTGTTGTCAAAATACCAATTTCTCTCCGAGCCACTTTTTCTTTATGAATGTCCACAGTCTGTATTTTAATTTAAACAATGTAAGGAAATATTATTTGTTACGGTAAATAATATAAATTATATAGCCACTAGGTTGTATTATGGAACTATACTACATGCCTATTTTTCCATTGAATACTTTGTCTTTTTGTTTAAAATTAAGCAATTATCTTCAAGGCTCAACAGAAAATAATTAAAGATGATTAAAAGCAACAAGTAATTTTATGGATTTGATTCTAAAACCATTCTCAGGAAGGCCATTTTCTTTTCTAAAGACTTGTGTTTGAGGATGCTGTTTAAGCCATGCTTAAGTCTTTGCAATCACTTGCTAGGCATCAGAGAGTTGAATGGAGGATAGAAGGAGAATTGATGCCTTTGAGCTGTGGTGTTGGAGAAGAGTACTGAATGTACTATGAACTGCTATGAAAACAAACAAGTTCATCCTAGAGAGGGTTAAACCAGGCTGCTCCTTGGAAGCAAGGATTCTAAAGCTTCATCTGATATACTTTGGACATGTTGCAAAGAGGGACCAGTCCTTAGAGAGAGACATCATGCTTGGGAGGGTGCAGGGACAGCACTGGAGAGGAAGATTCTCTATGAGGTGGATTGAGTCAGTGACTAGGGTATTGGGGGTGGGTGTGTTGGAGACAGTGAGACAGCAAAGTTTAGGGTTGTTGTACATAGGGTTGCTGTGAGTCGCAGGCGACCTGATGGCTTATAACAACAACATTTATTCTTATTGAGGAATTTAATACTTCATTTACTGGGGATACAAATCAGAAATAAAAATCTGCAATTAAAACACACTGAGTTAAGTGCTAAGTCACATACTCCCGGATTATGTAAAAGTCCTACAAAATTGTGTGGATCATAAACAAGTTATGAATAACATTGCAAAGGGCAGAAATTCCAGAAAAGTTTATTGTGCTCATGTGGAACTTGTATGTAGACCTAGAGGCAGACATTAAAACACAAGAAGAAGATACTACCTGGTTTGAAATCAGAAATGGCTGTATTTTTTTCACTCTACTTATTCAATCTGTATGCTGAGCAAATAATCTAAGAAATTAGACTATATGAGGAATATTGCATAGGATTAGAGACACTGATAAACGTGCAATATGTTGATGACAAAACCTTGCTGCTGAAATAAAAAACTTGCTGATAGAAGTAAAAAACTACAGCCTTCAATATGGATTAAAACTCAAAGAAAGTAAACAATTATCCTCACATGTAGACCAATAAGCATGGTCATAATAAACAGAGAAAAATTTGAAATTACCAATTACCAAGTATTTACTTTTACTTGGAGTTACAATATCGTCCCTCCACCATTCCAAGCATGACGTTCTTCTCAAAGGATGTGCCCAAAGTTTATGCCTCCAAGGAGCAGCAAGAAGGGTGGAGGTACAGAGCAGGAGAGGAAGACTAAGAATGAGATGAACTGACTTAGTAACTAGAGAAGTGGTACTGGTTCTGTCAGAGACGATGAGATTGGCTCAGGATAGGACAGGGTTCAGAGCCATTGTACACCGGGTCGCTATGAGTCGCAGGTGACTCAACAGCACATAACAAGAACCACAACAACGTTATGGGGGCAATAATCAAGAAATCAAACAACATACTGCATTGGACAAGTCTGCTGCAATATACCTCTTTAAGGTGTTAAAAACTGAAGATGTCACTCTGAGGACAAAGGTGCATCTGGTCCATGTTATGCTATTTTCATATTTATGTGAAAGGTGACTAATGAATAAGGAAGACCAAAGAAGAATCAATGCTTTGAATTATGGTGTTGGGGAATAATACTGAATTTATCATCAACTGCCAGAAGAATGAACAAATCTGTCTTAGAAGTACAGACAGACTGCTCTTTACAAGTAAGGAAGGTGAGACTTCGTCCTATGTGTACCTTGGGCATGTTTTCAGGAGAAACCATTCCCAGAGAAACATAAGGGTTTTGGTAGAGTCAGATAAAAAAGAAGATACTCAGTGAGATGGGACCGAGGAGCTGCAAGAATGGGCTAAAATATAGCAACAACTATAAGAACAGCACTGATTACAAATTCTGTTTTACTCATCCTAAGCCAGAGCCCATCTGACAACTAACTACAACAACATAAAATCTCACAGGACAAAGGTTAACAAACCTTGCTGCCCATCACAAAAGGTTTTGAATTCCTAAATTGCAAGGCTCTCTCCTATACCTGTACCCAGGTATCACCAGGTTTGCTCTCTGCAGCTCCTTGTAGAAACTGGAGTTTGGTTAACTGACATAAACACGGTTTATTCTGGTTTAATGCTACTGATATGAGTAATAAAGTCTTTGGTTTTTGACCAGTGTGTCTTGGCCAATGTGTCTCTGGCAGCATCTAGGAAACTGTCAGAGTCACCCACTAGCTACTCATTAAAATTCACTGTCATTAAGTAAAAAATCAACTCACAGCTGACCTGTTGGAGAGGAGATCACTCATCGTTTTTTCCTATGGTGGATTTGAACTGCCAGAGACGCTCTGCCTTTGGGTTAACAGTGCAATGCCCTACACACTATACCACTAGAGTTCCCTGTTTTTAAATTATACATTTCGAGTATTTTCTAGTTAAAGAAAGGCTTTTGATAGTAAATCTCCTTTATAAGAATCTTGTGTGTTTCTTTTAATATTTAAAAAATCTTGTCATTCCAATGAACGTCTAAGAAATTCCTAAGAAAAGAAAAGTATCATTCTTTCTGGTCTTTCAACTGCCAGTGAGTTAGAACCAACTCATAGCTGATCATCCAAGGGGTTCTGGAGGCTGTACACTGCACAGGAGGAAACTGTCCATCTTTCTGTAGAGCAGCTGGTGGATTCAAACTACCAGAGAGGTGACTTTAACGTTAGCAATACCACTCCCTACAAGAGGTAAAAATCTCAGACCACAATTTTTTACTGTTCAGGCAATGAGGATGGAATAGAGGCAGAATCAAAGGCTTCCAGAAAAGAAAGATAAGTTTGGTTAACAGGAGTGGAGAGAAGTCCATGGAAGTTTCTGATTGATAACTAGACCGTATTATATGGATGAGTGGGCAATAAAAGATCTTCCCTTTAAATGGCTGTTAGTGAAATGAAATCGAAGCAATAGTTTCAGACTATGTCCCAGAAAGCAGGTTCAAAGACAGCTGCCTGAATCATGCCAACCTTCCTCCAGACAAGACAGCTTCCTCTCCAAACTGACAGTCAACCTCAGTCATTCTGTCCCAATGAACAATCACTATTAAGATCTGCTGTCAAAGAAGATTCTGGACCCTTCGGACAACAGGCGAAACAACAACTGAGAGAGACACATATCTCCTATAATGAGTTGTAAGAAGAAAAATTTCTTTTATACGGAGAACAATTCACAACCACTACGGGTAGATCTATGGAACTTTGGTTAGTATACTTTAGACGAGAGAAGAGTGAACACAGTACTTGCTTAAAAAGAAAGGCAACAGCTGGCTGCCCAAGGGCTCCAATTCCTCCTGCAGTCTAAGAAGTCAACATTAGATTAATTCTAAACCAAAACCACTGCCACTGAATTAACTTCAACTCACAAATGGCCGTAAAATGCCTTTGTTTTTTGTAGGGGGTCTCTACAAGGGGATTCTGGTCTTCTATGGCAATTTTTCTAAGACAAACTCCTCTAAGCATTGACATGTCTTCCTGCTTTTACTGAATTGAATTGAATTTTTAAAAGTTCTTGAAAATGATTCACTGGAGAATGTGAAAATGGCCCAAAGCAATCTATATAAATTCTTGCTTTAAGTCTCAAGCCCTTAAAAAACTCTCTCTAGTTCTCATATTGAAATTTGGAAAGAACTTGGCAACTGAACAGTCAATACCCTGAATTAAATTGAAGCTCTCCGACCCATCTTCCTCAAAAAGTAGCTGCATTAATGTTGTTGTTATTGTTATTGTTATGTGACGTCGAGTAGCCTACAACTCATAGACAGCCTATGTACAACAGCCCTAAACCCTGCTCTATCTTGTGCCAATCTTATTGTCTCTGATACACCTACTACCATTACCCCACTCACTGAATCAATCCAATCTTCATCTCGTGTGGTGTCCTTCTACCCTCCCAAGCATGATGTCCCTCTCCAAGGACTGATCCTACCTTGCAACATGTCCAAAGTAGGTCAGACAAAGCTTCAGAATCCTTACCTCCAAGGAGCAGCCTGGCTCCTTGTTTGTTCTCCTAGCAGTCCATGATATGTTCAGTACTCTTCTCCAATGTTCAAAGGCATCAATTCTCCTTCTATCATCCCTAGTCATTGTCCAACTTTCTGAAGCATAGCAAGCAATTGCAAAGACCATGGCCTGGAACAGGCACATCTTAGTCTCCAGACTGACATCATTGATCTTCAGTACTTTGGAGAGGTCTCTGACAGCAGACTTTCCCAATGCAATTCACCTTTTAATTTCCTGGCTGCTCATACTAAGAGTGTTGATTGTATTTATATAGACTCCTTTTAAAAAGTTTCCACTGTGCAGATTAAACATGAGTTAAGTCAAAGCAAGTAAAATCCAAGGCCCTACTCAGAAAACATGGGTACAGCTATTGAATAAATACATCCCTGAACTGAAATGAGCAATGTCACTAATGATAATCTCATATAATATAGGATTTGGGGTAGACCAAGAACATGGCAGGTTTATCTGGTTGATCAGTATATGCCTAAAGCATTGATCAAAAATAAATATGCCTTATTAACTTCTGCAGGGCTGTTCGCCCTCCTCAACCTCCTTTTACTTCTCAGTGTCATCTGCTTAGATGTCTTCATGTTACTAAGAGAGAATGAAGACCAAAAGCACTTTCTTTAGAAGACTGCTCATCCTTCTCCCACGAAGAACCTATTGCTTTGTTTGGTTTTGTTTTTCAATTACCTTTATTCTTTTTTTAAAAAATTTTTATTACATTCTTTTATTATTATTAATTTCAATGAATATCTACAGAAATTTTGGTATTCCATTCATTCATTGTTGCACTTTTCTCCCCACCC